TTGCGATTATGTTAATGTGTGCAGTTATGATAATTTGCTTAGTTTCGTTTATCCAGAGTTATCAATCAGGATAACACGATTATCATAGATTCATTTACCGATTATCCTAGTGTGTGTTATAATATTTTAGGTCTCCATTTTCATATCTCATCGCAGGATACAGCTCTTATGAATAAGATGGTTTTGCATGGACTTGGAAAGAACACTCAATATGCTTCTGTGATAACAATTTTATTCTAACAAGCACGCGACATTCTATCATGCAGGTCAAACATGAGTCAATAATTCATGGGCAAGATTATGCAATTAACTAATATGAACGACAAAAACTTATGCAGTTGCGAAATTATGCAATTATGCAATATGAATAACGAAAACTCTTATGCATTTATGTAACTCGACGGCAGCAACTGCTTTGCACGATCAGTTGATATTGAACGCACCACCTCGAAATGGCAACCCTTTTTGAAACGCAAAGATCACTTTTTGAAAGTCTTATTCGTGTGCGTGCTGTGTGTGCGTTGTCCTCTCGTAATATTAATTGTGTCGTTAGCTTGTGTGGTGTGGGAGGATACGAACAGCTGCTGCTGCTCCCTCGCTCGGCGTGTCGCTCGGCTTTTGCTCTCTCTCTCTCTCTCCACTGCTGGATTGAGCAGCGTTGGCACGATGTTCCTTGAAGAAACTTGCTTGCTTGGCGCTTGATGGTTCCGGGGGCTTGGTGCTGCTCGTGCGCTCTCTCTTTCTACTGCTAGATGACGAGTTGGCACGATGCTGTCCTTGAAGATGCTCGGTCGCTCGTGTCGCTCGGTGTTGCTCGGTGGCGCAAGGTGTCGCTCGTTGTCGCTCGATGGCGCGCGGTGGCGCACGGAGGCGCAAGGTGGCGCACGGTGGCGCAAGGTGGCGCACGGTCAGCGCTCGTTCAGCGATCTCCGCCTTTCCTGCGGGTTGTTCGCTGGTCGTCACTCTGACGAGGAGCGATGCTTCGTTCGTGGCAGGGTGGACGTTGGCGTCTTTGTTGGCTTCACTCGCAGCTCTGCGACTCAGGGTAGCGATTCCTCTCAGGTGGTGCAGACCTCGGCTTGTAGCTACGCGTCGCTACTCCGCAAACCTCGTCATTCTGAATGACAGGAGCTTCTTCGTTGGCGGCGACGAGGAGAGATGGTTGTCGCCCTGGAGAACTCTGGTGGGGCCTTAGCCCGGAGACGAGATGAGATGTAGGCCGGAGCTCGTGAAGATCTGTGGTGGAGCCGAAGATGGGCTCGTAGCCCGGATGATATCTTGTGTTGGAGCCGAAGCCCGGACGATATGTGATGGGGGCCAGAGCCCCTGTCGATCTGCGTTGGAGCCAAAGCCCGGATGATATGCTTTGTATGGATTTTCCTTCGGTTTATATCGGAAACTTCCACTCGGCTTCCCGAGTTGTTCAAAGGCTGTGTCATAAAACCTTCCTGTGGGCTGAACCATCTGCGTCCGTGTGTGTGTCCGTCCGTGTGTTTCGCGTGCGTGTTTGTCCGTGTTGTGGGGAGACAAAGGCGGTTGTTTCCACGGTGGGAGCACCCGGCGCATGCGCTTATTTATTCGAAGACGTGTTTATTTCCTTTGAGCCATTGCCCCTTTTATGGGTGTCATTTCCTAGCTTGGTGCCTGTGTGTGGAGATCCTCTCGGAAAGACAAAGGCGGCCGTGTTGCTCGCTTCCCATGGGTGTTGTGTTTGGTTAATTTTGAGAGCCTTCTCCGCCCTTGATTCCTCTTCTACTTTAATTCCGTACTTATTATTTGACTTCTTGTGATTATTTAATCTGATATCCCGGCTTATCTTTGTTCAGAATATAATTATCTCTTCCTCCGTGTCTCCTGGTTCTGCAACCCCCCGCCTGCAATTCCCCCCCTCCCTTGTTCCTCTTGTGTGAATTTAGGGGAGTTTTTTTTTTTATTACCTTATTGCCCCCCCTGTCATGTCCTCTTTCCTTTGAAATGAGGTATGCGCGCATCTGTGGAAGTGTGGGGGCCTCTGTGGAAGTGTGGGGGCGTGTTCGTTCCCACGTGGCCCCGTGTCTATTAAAAAAACAATATTATATATGATGGCAGAATAAGCCTTAAAAAAAATAATATTAAAAAAAATAAAAAGGGGGTACATACACAACACTATACCCCTAGCTCGCCAGGAGACAGCGGTACAGCAGAAATGTGGACTCCACCAGTTCCGTCTGTATGGGATCGAGCATCTCCCCCTCACATGCGTGGGTTTTCTGGAGGTGCTCTGGTTTCCCCCCCCCCCCCCCCCCCCCCACATGTAAAACGCTCACAAATTGGCCCCTAACACCTTTATATATCGAGGACTGCAGAGCTTGGGCAATCTTTTGGGTGCCCCACTCACCGCGTGGCTGCTGCCTCCCCGCCTGTCTGTGGTTCCTCCTCGCGCCTCTCGAGCCATTCTCTCTCTACGAGAGCGGGCGCAGGCCGCGGTGCATTACAGGGTGAAATTCTTATTATATTCCGTGCTTTCAAAAGCGGTGTCACGCGAACACCGCTCTCGGTGGGAAGAGCACGGACGTGGCGTTAGGGAAGTGATGTCACCTCCTGCGGTGTCATGTTTTCGGATTAGTCTGAGAAACAAGCTGAACATCGGATCTTCCGACAATCATTTGTTTTGGATCAGTTTCAATATAGGGCACACATTTGATATGAGCGGCTTTATATTCCCCTGGTTTGTCAGTATGTACATACGTGTACAGCTCTTTAGTAAATCCACTGTTTCATGAAAGCCTCGATCCCCAACGTGGGTCGTGGTGGTTATTCGACCAAACTTCACCATGCTGGTCACCGCGGCTCGGTGCAGGCGGGTAGCATAGACACGGGAGCGTCAAAGTACAGTACAACAACGGACCATGCAGCACTGGCCTGCGCTGACCATCACGTAGTACTGAGAGCAGCCTGATAGCATTGTTGATTGCGCACGGTAGTTGCCCATCCTCCCATGCTGTGTGGGTCACGGGAGTTATCTGACTATACTTCACCCCATAGGTCAATGCGGGTTTTGGTTGAAAGTGAGGGGAGCATAGTGCAGACATCTGCTGGCAATGTATCAGAATCGTGATCTTTATTTAGACTGGAGGAATCTGATGGGCTATGAAGCTCTTTTTCATAGATGTCCAGTAAATGTACTCGCATAGCAGCCTCCTGCACAACACGTGTTTCACTCGTGGTGGTCGCCCATCCAAGCACTGACCAGGCTCAACCCCTGCTTAGTTTCCGACATCTGATGAGATCGGGTGCATTCTGGGAGACTTTGTTCATGGGCCATTGCACTGTTCTAAGGCGGTGTTGATGGTGATAATGGCAGAATTGCTGAAGAAAACTATTCGATGCGTAATGCCGATACGTAATGCCGATACGATGAAATATGTTTTCTTTCAAGTGCAGTATTGCCTTGTTATTAATCACGAGGGATACGTTCCGGAGATGCTTGTGAATAGCAAATTTGGCGGATAATGATATTGGCCTAAGAAAACGTATATCTTTTGAATTAGTTACCTTAAATTAGTACATGCATACAAAAAGCTATTAAACACACGAAAATGATCGTAACAAAAATAATCGCTTATAATGAACATAAAGGAAATAAAAAAATACATTGAAGTATAAAAACATTGTTTACAAATGAACTTAACTTAAATTATGATTCTATGCGTCATCACTTTATCTCGTGATTTTATCTCATCACTTTCTCTCAGTGCAGTCATGTAGAGTTCGAGGCGCAATTCGCGGATAGCCAAAATCACGGATAGCAAGTTAGTGAAGAACGAGGGAATACTCTCATAGATTCGGTGTTACTGGTCGAATCACCGAAACCGAGCTTACATTTTAAAATACAAAATTACTATTGGACTCGAGGGCAAGCCATTCATTTGTCAAATGGCGATTGAATCTGAACCGGCTCTCACCTGTGATTATAATTAATAAAGTACTGTACAAAGTGCATAAGCAGGGGTGTATAAGCATTAAAAAATATATTAAATTTTGTTCATTAACACTGGCTTTGTTGTGAGAAGCTTAATGCACAGAAGCATGTGTAATATGCTCGCAATTTGAGCAGTGTGTAGTCAATTAACTGCTTCAGAGCCATTAGACTGGCACGCAAGAAATCACAGCGATGCCCCCAAGCGTTGGCTCACCGCGAGGCGGTGTTCACAACAAAGGTGATGCGTTTTTATTTGTACGTAAAGTGCAACCGGGAATCGATAGCATTGAATTGTGATTTTTAGATCAGCTTCTTGCAACAAACCGGGCTTGTTATGACGCCGCGCTAGGACAGCCTGCAGGGCACCGCATTTAGAAATGCGGCGATCGATGACGTCTCCGTGCCTCGCGTGACTCTTCGACTTGTGTAAATATTTGCGGACGGTCAGCGATTGTCTACGCGTTATGAGAAAGGCGATATTTATGACATTCCTCCTGGCCCTAGGCCATGAAATGTGAACGCTGTGTTTTGGCACCGATCAAACATTTGCGCTGTGAACCCAAGTGGCAAGGGGTGGGGGGGGGTGGTGGGGCACCGCGGTGCCAGATGTTAACCACCTCGCCGCGTATACAGGAGGTCGTGGGTTCGATCCCGACTCTGACGCCTGTATATTTGGAGTTTGCGTGTTCTCCCCATGGTTGCGTGGATTTTTCTCCGGTTTATCCCTCCGCATTTAGAAACCTGCATTTAGATTGTTTGGCTGCTATAAATTTCCACATGATAAGCCACCTTGTTGAGCTTTCATTTGTGGCCAGGTCGCTTCTGAAAAAGAGCTATATGGCTGAGTGGGTCTTACCTGGTAAAATATAAACATAGCGATGAGGAGGAAACAGATCAGCGGTGGGATACAACAACAGTGGCAGTGATGGTAGCAGTATCAGAGAGACGAATAGGTGACGGATCGACGATGAGAGTGGCAGTAGCCAGATCCGTGACAGGCACCCTACAGAGTCTGTGTTCCGTCTCTGTCGGCCAACAGGGGAAGTTCACGCCTGCGTCCGACGTGTGGGCGTTCGGCGTGACGCTGTGGGAGATGCTCACACTGTGCAGGGAGCAGCCATACGGGGCGCTCACCGACGAGCAGGTCATCGAGAACACGGGCGAGTTCTTCAGGGACCAGGGCCGACAGGTAAGCGGCGGCACGAGCGTGCGGACTTGTGCGAGGCTCGTGAAGGACGCCGCTGGGCAGTTGGAGGCAGTCGCTCTCCAGCGACAACGGAGGGCTACGGGAGGAGCGATGCTCACAACAACCAAGAGCGGAGCGCCGGGGGGCTAAAATGCAGCGAGTTGGCACAGTAGGTAGTGCATAGGCAGGTCGTTTCACTCAGTCAACCCGTGGCACCACCTGGGTCTGTCCCGTGACTCCCTGCGAGTGGGGGTTTGACACTTCACGTGGCCTTAAAGTGCACCTAGCCTGGCACAAACGCCATGGGGATGTCACTGCCACTTAGTGGTGAATGGCGACTGTTGTTGTCACATAGTCACTGTAAGATGTTTTCTTGTTCATGTTTTAGTTTTTTGTTTGTTGCCGTTGCACCCGATTCAAGAGCCGAATGGCTCACAGGGCTATACGAAATAAATTAAACTGAAACTGATGCCATACCAGCCTTCACAGGTGCTCGCTAACAGCACTTTTCCCAACACCCTGTGTAGGCTATGCAGGGGATCTCTGCCCGCACGATCCTATAAATTATCCCAATTCAGGAATCCAAATTCTGTTTGAGAATTAATTCGTTCATTTGTTTACATTACGGCCACAGGGTTTACGATAAAAAAAGAATTGACATACGCGACGTGAAAACAAGCGATTCAGATAAGCGCGATTCGACGCATCGTCGCACGCGCGCGAACGCATGTCAAAACACGACGAGTGGCCGCTTCCTGGCGGAACCAGGGGTCATGCAAGCAGAGGGTCGAAGAAGCAAATTTGTCATCGTGAAAATTCAAGCGAGCTGCATAAACGTAAAATATGCCATACATCCCCCCCCCCCCCGCGTTCACCAATCTCCAGCATTAAGCGTGGCTGTGACTGAACACGTATTGCCACGAACTCAAACATGAATGAAATGTAAAAACCTTCTGTACGACAAAAAATAAAGTTTAAAGTGAAGGGTCACTATTTGCTCAAATGAGCAAATGGTGAGCTCCCTGAGCCAGTGGCGGAAATTCCACATTAGCATGGTGGGTGCCAGTCTGTCCGTAGGTAGTTTGACCACCAATACAAGGTTCTGAATTAGTATTGACCCCAGAGCAAAAAGGGGGATTTCAACGCGCGCGGCCTTGCGATCGCGAGTGAATCTCTCGCCCACCACCACATTTAGACCCCGCGGTGTTTTCCGTGCAAGCATACTTTTACAACCTTTATAAAGAAAACATATTTAGAACTTAAACGAGAAGCTTCGCAAAAATACAAACAAATATTCCACTCACAGCCACAGCAGCACCAGCAGAGGTAGCAGCAGGGGGTGCCCCAGTCGAGAAGGGCCTGGAATTTCGTGAGGAACCACCTCACTACAGCCGCATTCCTCCTCGGCGAGCTTCACGAAAATGAAAACACCTTTGCCATTGTCCCAGCTGAGTTGTTCGCTCAGACCTGTGTGACAGGCATGCTCGGCAGGTGTCTGCTATGACCGCGTGAGAGGTGACGGCCACTCCCTGCTGTCCTGCCCACCCCGGCTCGACAGCTCGAGCGAGTGCTACGGGAGGGCGTGACGGCTGCGTTGATATCGCGCGCGTGTCTGTGTGCGTGCATGTTTTTGTGTTTACCAGTGGGGAGTGGTAGCGCAGTGGTTAGCGCCACTGCGCGACGAACCTGGTGACCCAAGTGCGAATTGGCCAAAGCCAGTGATGATTATCCGAACCGATCGTGCGCCTCCCCTAGGTCGACTCGGCCGCAAATGAGCACCTGGTGCGGTGTGTAAACATTGCCACTCGGGAGACAAAGGCGGCCGGGTGTGGTGTTGGCCACCCACCTCCTTGTGTGGCGTGCCAGCCTTCGTTATTGCTACTTGCTAACAGCACTTGCCCCAACAGTCTGTTAAGGCTACATGGGGGATCTTTGTCTTTGGTTGTGTTTACGAGTGATCAGCGAGACAGCACCAGGGCCATCTTTGACTAATGGTCTCCGATGAAACACAATAACTCGACCACACGTTTGTCAGTGACACTGGTGGCCTTCTTGGTTCTTTCGGTAAAGTCACGTAGAAGGGAAGTAATAAAATAATAAAAATAAAACATAATAAAACAATTCTCACGACGTTTCGGCCACAACGCAAGCAGCCGTCCTCAGGTGAAAACCAGGTCCGTCGAGGCGACAGAGTCTGAATGAAACAGCACACGGGCTTGGAGCATATATATAAGCTGGGCGCATTGACAAAGGAATTTGCATATCAACAGGAATTTAGCATATTTATGGGAAATGCAGGAATGTAATTAGTACTGCATATGCATGTGCATTATGCAGGATTAACAGCATCAAAGGGAGCTGTAGTTACTGCTGCTGCAGTAGTTGCTGCTGCTGCTGCAGTTTCTGCTGCTGCTGCAGTTGCTGCTGCTGCTGCAGTTGCTGCTGCTGCTGCACTTGCTGCTGCTGCTGCACTTGCTGCTGCTGCTGCACTTGCTGCTGCTGCTGCAGTTGCTGCCTTATCCATTTTAATATAACACTATGTATTATTCTACCCACCCTAATGTGTATCATACTGCTATATGTTTACTGTACAATTACGACACCATACATTACTCTGCACACTGCACCATGCCAGTGAGTGGAACGCGGTCTGAAAGTCACCGTTAACGTGAACACAATCAGTTAAGATCCGAAATGGTTTATTACGTCCTTCCAATGATTGCTAAGCCAGAATCCATCTTCTCGGTTGAAATTGTCTCTGTGTTTGTATATGTGGATCGCCTCATGAACGAATCTCTCATGATAGCCAGATGGCTTGCAGAGAACCTCTGTCTTGGAGAAGTCAATGTCATGTGAGCCCACTGAATTGTAACAGTGATCTGCCACGGCTGAGGTGTTTGTCCTACCGTGTTTCAGGTCTGCCTTATGTTCACGGATGCGGTCCGAGACATGTCGTTTGGTTTCTCCAATGTAACTGCTACCACAGAGGCAACTTAGTTTGTAGACGCCAGGGTACTGTATGTCTGGAACCACATCTTTTACAGACGGGACCAGATCACGGATTTTATGTACTGTGTTGAATCGGACCTGGATCTTGTGTTTAATCAGGATTTTGGAGATCTTTTTTGTGACCCCAGCAATGTAGGGTAAGGTGATGGTCTTGAAAGGCTCCTCAACAGGATCCTTCTTGATGGTTGGAGTGATGGCTTTGCGGATTGTGTAGTCGGAGTAACCATTAGCCTTAAGAGCTTGGCGTACGTGTTTGAGTTCACTGGAAATGTGTTCATGGTCGGAGATGCATTGGGCTCTATGATATAGAGTCTTGATGAGGGAATTCTTCTGGGATGGATGGTGGTGGGAATCCGGTTTTAGATAAGCATCCGTGTGGGTGGCTTTCCTGTAGACAGAGTGGCTCATTGAACCATCAGGTCTCCTTTTGATTAGGACATCCAAAAAGGGTAGCTTGCCATCATTTTCGACTTCCATGGTGAATCTGATGGCTGGGTGTATGGAATTGATGTGGTCGAGAAATTGGTCTAGAGCAGGCCGGCCATGTGGCCAGATGACAAAAGTGTCGTCTACGTACCTCTTCCATAAGGTCGGGCGTAGAGTGGCAGTCTGGATGGCGTCCGTCTCAAATTTCTCCATGAAGATGTTGGCTACAATCGGAGATAGGGGGGAGCCCATTGGGGTGCCCTCAATTTGCTTGTAGAAGGTTCCATTCCAGGTGAAGTATGTATTGGTTAAGCAGTGTCTCACCAGGGGGGGTACCCCAGCATTCAGTCCTTGATGAACCAAGTCTTCAATGATTGCGATGGTGTCAGGCACAGGCACCTTGGTGAACAAGGAAACCACATCAAAACTGACAAGCAGGTCGTCTGGGGACAGGGCAATCCCCTTGATTGTCGATACCAGGTCAGTAGAGTTTAGTACTGCAGAGGTGGTTTTTCCAGTGAAAGGCCGTAGGATTTCGGACAAAAAACGAGCCAGTTTGTAAGTGGGGGAGTTGATAGTAGAGACAATGGGACGAAGAGGTGTATCTTCTTTATGTATCTTTGGCAAGCCGTACAATCTTGGTGGCCTGGCTGCAGAAGGTTTCAACGAGAACTGTTTGGTCTGATCAATTAATGCGGTTGAAGCAGAAATGATGTTGTTGGTTTTGGAGACGAGGCTTTTTAAAAAGAGACCCCACCAACAGCCTCGTCTCCAAAACCAACAACATCATTTCTGCTTCAACCGCATTAATTGATCAGACCAAACAGTTCTCGTTGAAACCTTCTGCAGCCAGGCCACCAAGATTGTACGGCTTGCCAAAGATACATAAAGAAGATACACCTCTTCGTCCCATTGTCTCTACTATCAACTCCCCCACTTACAAACTGGCTCGTTTTTTGTCCGAAATCCTACGGCCTTTCACTGGAAAAACCACCTCTGCAGTACTAAACTCTACTGACCTGGTATCGACAATCAAGGGGATTGCCCTGTCCCCAGACGACCTGCTTGTCAGTTTTGATGTGGTTTCCTTGTTCACCAAGGTGCCTGTGCCTGACACCATCGCAATCATTGAAGACTTGGTTCATCAAGGACTGAATGCTGGGGTACCCCCCCTGGTGAGACACTGCTTAACCAATACATACTTCACCTGGAATGGAACCTTCTACAAGCAAATTGAGGGCACCCCAATGGGCTCCCCCCTATCTCCGGTTGTAGCCAACATCTTCATGGAGAAATTTGAGACGGACGCCATCCAGACTGCCACCCTACGCCCGACCTTATGGAAGAGGTACGTAGACGACACTTTTGTCATCTGGCCACATGGCCGGCCTGCTCTAGACCAATTTCTCGACCACATCAATTCCATACACCCAGCCATCAGATTCACCATGGAAGTCGAAAATGATGGCAAGCTACCCTTTTTGGATGTCCTAATCAAAAGGAGACCTGATGGTTCAATGAGCCACTCTGTCTACAGGAAAGCCACCCACACGGATGCTTATCTAAAACCGGATTCCCACCACCATCCATCCCAGAAGAATTCCCTCATCAAGACTCTATATCATAGAGCCCAATGCATCTCCGACCATGAACACATTTCCAGTGAACTCAAACACGTACGCCAAGCTCTTAAGGCTAATGGTTACTCCGACTACACAATCCGCAAAGCCATCACTCCAACCATCAAGAAGGATCCTGTTGAGGAGCCTTTCAAGACCATCACCTTACCCTACATTGCTGGGGTCACAAAAAAGATCTCCAAAATCCTGATTAAACACAAGATCCAGGTCCGATTCAACACAGTACATAAAATCCGTGATCTGGTCCCGTCTGTAAAAGATGTGGTTCCAGACATACAGTACCCTGGCGTCTACAAACTAAGTTGCCTCTGTGGTAGCAGTTACATTGGAGAAACCAAACGACATGTCTCGGACCGCATCCGTGAACATAAGGCAGACCTGAAACACGGTAGGACAAACACCTCAGCCGTGGCAGATCACTGTTACAATTCAGTGGGCTCACATGACATTGACTTCTCCAAGACAGAGGTTCTCTGCAAGCCATCTGGCTATCATGAGAGATTCGTTCATGAGGCGATCCACATATACAAACACAGAGACAATTTCAACCGAGAAGATGGATTCTGGCTTAGCAATCATTGGAAGGACGTAATAAACCATTTCGGATCTTAACTGATTGTGTTCACGTTAACGGTGACTTTCAGACCGCGTTCCACTCACTGGCATGGTGCAGTGTGCAGAGTAATGTATGGTGTCGTAATTGTACAGTAAACATATAGCAGTATGATACACATTAGGGTGGGTAGAATAATACATAGTGTTATATTAAAATGGATAAGGCAGCAACTGCAGCAGCAGCAGCAAGTGCAGCAGCAGCAAGTGCAGCAGCAGCAGCAAGTGCAGCAGCAGCAGCAAGTGCAGCAGCAGCAGCAACTGCAGCAGCAGCAGCAACTGCAGCAGCAGCAGAAACTGCAGCAGCAGCAGCAACTACTGCAGCAGCAGTAACTACAGCTCCCTTTGATGCTGTTAATCCTGCATAATGCACATGCATATGCAGTACTAATTACATTCCTGCATTTCCCATAAATATGCTAAATTCCTGTTGATATGCAAATTCCTTTGTCAATGCGCCCAGCTTATATATATGCTCCAAGCCCGTGTGCTGTTTCATTCAGACTCTGTCGCCTCGACGGACCTGGTTTTCACCTGAGGACGGCTGCTTGCGTTGTGGCCGAAACGTCGTGAGAATTGTTTTATTATGTTTTATTTTTATTATTTTATTACTTCCCTTCTACGTGACTTTACCGAAAGAACCAAGAAGATGAATCCCTGCAGTCACGAAAGCTTTAAATCGAAATTTAACTGGTGGCCTTGATAAATATATTACAGGCAACGTTTCGAGGCAATGCCCCTTCTTCACAGCACGTTGTTATTTGTGCTTGTGCACCACTGCCAAACGCAGCGTCACCAAAATGTTTTTTTGATTCTGATGAAGCGGCATGCCCGTGTGTGATGAGCTTTGGTTTTCTCGTCAGAGGAAGCTAGTCTTGATCGACGACTGGATGAATGTTTTTCCCCACGCTGAAGCGGCTGGACTTAATTGCAATTAAGTCGTCACCGTAAGCCATTCTGTGCCCACTGTTGAATGAATACTACCCCATGTTAATGCTGTGTGCGTTATTGTGTATCCATATTGATGCATGTGTGCGTGCTCATGTGCTTGTGTAAGTGTTGACTCAAAAGAGTAAGTGTTGACTCAAAAGAGTAGCTGGTGCGGTGTATAAACATCGCCACTGGGGAGACAAAGGCGGCCGGGCGTGGTGCTGACAACCAAACCACCTCGTGCGCCGTGCCGGCCTTCATAGGTGCTCGCTAACAGCACTCGCCCCACCATATTGTTAAGGCTATACGTGTTGTGCCTTTGTGTGCTCCCCCCCCGAACCCACCCCTCTCACCGCCCAGACGGTGCTGCCCAGACCGGCCCTGTGCCCTGAGCCGCTGTACGAGCTGATGTGCGCGTGCTGGAGACGGGACTCGCGCGCCCGGCCCTCCTTCCCGCAGCTGCACAACGTGCTACGCGCCCTCCAGCCGTAGGCACGCGCAAGCGCGCATGGTCACTCGCGCAGTCACAATCAACACAAAGACGGAACAAAGACGAAAGATTTCCCCCGTACAGCCTGGACAGACTGTCGGGGCGAGTGCTGTTGGCGAGCACCTATGAAGGACGGCACGGCGCACAAAGGGGGTGGGTGGCCAACACCGCGCCCGGCCGCCTTTGTCTCCCCAGTGCTCATTTGAGGCCGAGTCGACCTAGGGGAGGCCCAGGACCAGTTCAAATAATCGTCACTGGTGTTGGTCATGAACGGGAATCGAACTCGGAACGGGGGGGTTCATAGTGCAGTGCGCTAACCGCTGCACTACCGCTCCCCACTCACACAGTCACACTCACACACACTGTCACACTACAACGAAAGCAAAAATTGCCGTTCACCACTGAGTGGCGGTGACGTTACCATGGTGCTTGTGCACATTGAGGCCACGTGAAGTGTCAAAGGTTCGTTGGCAGGAGGTCATGGGACAGATACAGGTGCCTTGGGTTGATTGAAATGACTGGCAGATGCATCAGCTGTGCTCTCCACTGTGCCAAACTTGCTGCGTTTTAGCCGCCCGGCGCTCCACTCGTTGTGAGCGTCGCTCTTCCAGCCTCCGTTGTCGTTGGAGGGTGACTGCCTATAACTCCCCAGCAGCTTCCATCATGTGCCTCCTCCACAGAGGGCAATCTTGACACTGCTGGTACCAGTCATCGGCAAGTCCAATCAGCTCCACATCTTTCTGTACCACATCAGTCCATCTCTTCTCTATCTTCTCTAGCCTGTGCCGTGCCCATTTAGTCCCATCTATTTGACCAAATATAATCTGCTTGTGCATAAGGTGGCTGGGCATTCGGGCTACATGACCCAGCCAACGCAGCCTCGCTTGTTGGAGTAGCTTACCGATGGGATCTGTTTGCTCACACAATCCAGTCTGGTTAAACCCAGGATGGATCATAGGCAGGCCAGCCTGAATGTGTCAAACCAGCGCAGATGTTCCTTTGGAGGGTTCCACGTTGCACACGCATGGAGAAGGGAGAGCATAACTGTAGCCTGAGAAGACCAGAAGCTTCGTGTGGAGCGACAGACCAGGGGGCTTCTGCACAGCATTACGCAGCTGATGAAAGATAATGCCGCTAGACTGATTTTAAACGAGACCTCTGGTTCCAAACCAGTGCTGGTTATAAGCACACTGACCAGGTATAGAAACTTTTCCACTCTCTCCACAACTGCCCCAGCTCTTAGTGACTCGCTCTAGGTTCAGCAGAGTCTACAACTTCTCAGAGTGAGCAGCAATCACCAGTTCATACATAACATGGTTGACCAAATGGGAGCCATCTCTTGACCACACCCAGACATTGATGAGCATACTATTGTATATTACCAGATGGAACTTCCTCTGGTATAACGATGGAAAGCTTCTCAAACTACGTGGTTGCAAAAATATGTTAAATAATGTAACAGCCAGAGGACATTCCCTGTCACACCCTAAAGTGGACCTGACTGCTGGTCACACAGCTTTACCCAGGCCTGCCCACCATCATGAAGGTCCTCAAAATAAGTTATACATACATACATGAAGGATAACCCAGAACCATAGCATATAGATGGTATCATAGGCCTTGGTCAGGTCAAAAAAGCAGAGATGTAGGTCCCAGTAAAATCCTGTACATATCTGCTGTATCAGTCAGACAGAGAAGAATGAATATGTGCAGGACCGCCTGAACCTAAAACACATTGAGGCTCCGCAAGCATCTCCTCAGCGTGCCTGGCAAGACGATATTGAATAATCTTTACCAGGACCCTTCCCAGCACACAGAGGAGACAGATCCCTTGGTAGTTGTTGCAATCAATACGGTCCCCCTTCTTAAAGAAGGGGACCACCAGGGCATCCTTCAAATCTTGCGGAACCTTTGCTGGAGTCCAGACAGTTTTGACTATGTAATTTAGGCCAGTCTGCAGATCAATGCCACCCTCCCTCAACAATACGCTTGGGAGATCATCTCTGCCTGGCACTTTTCCTGGTCTCAGACTCTGGATTACTCTTCATATTTCTCAACAAATGGTACCTCAGCCAGCCACTCACAGTGTGTGGCTACATCTTCCAGTATTTGAGGCACTGCAGCCCCAGCAGGGTCATCCCCACCTTTCTCCGTGCTGTTTTCTGGGCTAAATAGTCCAGCAGGTGGTATTGCTTGGACCTGGCGTGCATCTGCGATGTGTAGATGTGCCAATGCTGGAAAGCCTGTTGGTGATTACAAGTCCATGGGCTGCTCAGATGTCTAGCAGCCTCCTTCCGTTATTATTAAGCTGATGTGGCCCATGCCGTCCAATCAGTCCAGCCCAGGTGTTGGTGTCATGACCCACTTGGACATTAATGTCACCCAACAGGGTAACTCTAATCTGAGGGGCCACTTTAGCTAGCACCTGTGACAGGAGGTGATAGAAGGCATCTTGACTCATCAGCCTTACCTGCATCCCCCCAGCTGTTCGTTTTCGATGGGAGTATAAGCCATCACCACTATTTCTCGCCTCCTATTGATGGGGAGGTGAGTCCACAACACTATGGGACTTGCAGCTCCCAGACCTCACTGCCCTGCTCCCAGACTCCATTATTTTGCTCATAAGCAGAGCCACTGCATTTTATGTGGTTATTTCCTGCCGTGAGTGCAGGACTGTCCACCCCTCGTGATGAACCAGAACTAGTCCACCAGCCCTCCTGTATTCCAGAGGTCCAGGCGATACCGGTCCCAGCTCCTGACAGAGAAACGGCAGCCTCTCCCCGACAGCAGGCATTCGTACATTCCATGTGGCTACTCGCAGTGGTGTTATGCTGTTTCTGGAGGAACCCCGACGGTGGGGGTTCGGTGTCCTGGCTCCACCATGAACACCAGTTCTCCTCTGGGCCTTCCGGCAAAAGCTTATTATGATCTTTTATTCGTGGTTTTTGGTTGAGTGAGTTTTAAGGTTAAGGGGTTACCAGCCCCTCGCAGCCGCCGAAGGGATGGGGGGTTGTTTTTGCCAGTCAGCTGTTGAACGTGTGTGCATTTCTTTCCAACACACCAGTTGTGCTGAAGCAGTAATATATTGGCACGCATGTCCACGTGACAACCTCATTAATTGGCTGTGTTGGGCGGAGGAGGGTTTACGACAGACATTTTATTTTCGTGATCTGACCCAAACAAAAAAAACAATTATGAATCATACGTGAAAGGTGTTTACATCACGCGATCAGAAGTCAGCAGAGCATGCTGATGATCTCACCACCTGATATATTGTTTTCTCTCCAAGAAGCAACAACTGGTCTTTGTGAAATTTCACAAAGGTAAAAATAACTGCGGAGTTTGTAGGCCGAATTCACCTGCATTAAGGATCATTATAGCCTTCCCTACGGGAGCGGTGAAACCAATTTCTTATAAATCGGAAACGTCAAATGTGGTGGCAACGTGCGGGCCTCCTGCGAGTGGCCAGCTACTGCTGCTGCTGTACCACGGAGAGGTCCCTTCAGACCCATCGCTCAGGCGGTTCGGATGCTCGTGCATTCACTTGGGTCGCCGCGATGTGACGCTTCTACGATATGCCGTAACGATGTAAGGCCCACGATAACCGCGTCGTCGGTTTTGTGTCAGAAACCAAAAAAACATCGTGATCATCATTTCTGTTTTTTAAACTCTTTTCTTAAATGTGTCACATCCTGACAAAGTATTTATGAAATTTACAATCTCAATAAATAAAGGTGTAAATAAGTAGCTATTATCCGTTAAACTAGCGCCTTGCGAAATGTTTTTTTTAGTTTTCTTGGAGTAATTGGCGGGGTGGCAACATCGTCGTTTCTTGGCTGCTTGAATCATTTGCGAGGGACTGATGACGTGTCGCGTTCGCGGTTGCAGAGCCGCAATGATTCAGTGCCAGGATTGTGGGCGGGCTTACGTTGACCGAACTGCAGTCGGAAGAACTTTTGAACTTAAATCGCATACGTACTGGTTTTACAGCAAAGCACAACGCTACGATGCAAATGTGAAAATGACATTACACAGTTACGGGAAACCCGATACGGTACCACGACAATCGATATTATTTCGAATTGTATCGTAATGAATTATATCGCGGCGAGCCTAGTATTCGTCAGAAAGACAGGGAGAGAGCGTCTGGTGACCATGGCCACTGTCTCCTCGACACTGATGTTCACACGCCACACCGGCTACTCGTTTTAGGCCGAGTCGCACCTATGGGCCATTGAGACCAAAGGTCAAGGTTCGGTTACCAATTGCCACTGACGTGCATCAGCCCAGGAATCGAAAGCCAGATCACCGGAGTCGTGGTGCAGAGCGCACGAACCACTATGCCATCTCACACGCACGCGAAGACGACACGCGCACACACGCGCGCACACGTCTGCACACCACCGTGGTGCCAATACAGTATTTATGCAATCGTCTAAAAAGAGAGGCGACGCTCAGTGAAATCTTAACTCGCAATATTTTACGGGCAAAAAAAAACAACCTCCAGCATTGTGTAGTCACGAGTCGATCGCATTCGAGACGCGCGCTGTGAAATTCTACTCCTGTGCTCGTTGAGCCCGCTAGCAGCACAGCGACTGTGTGCCTAGGGGGTGTGGGGGACTACCCTAGAGTCCCCTGTGCATCACGTCCGGACAGGGGTGGGCACTTTATAGATGCCCCACTTAAACAAAAAGAAGTAATGGGGAGTAACGATAGAGGAGACATTTTTTTTTTATATCAAAGCCTCTATTCTACTCGTGCCTCCCACAAATCTCAGTGCACATATTCAAGACATTGACACTCGCCTGGATTGCTCTGTTCAGCGTAGCCGCTGTGATTTGCACTCCATGTTCAATGATGCCTTGTAAGCTGAGGTCATTGATTATGTCGCGGTTTTGTTTAATACAAAAAAAAAATCCCCCCGTGTCGCCCTTAACAGACTGTTGGGGCAAATGCTGTTAGCGAGCACCTATTTATGTCGGTATGGCATACACGGGTGGGTGGCTAGCACCACGCCCGGCCGCCTTTGTCTTCCTGGTGCTGATGTTCAAACACTGCACCAGGTAATCATTTGAGGCTGGGTCGCCCCTAGGGGAGGCCCAATCCCGGTTCAGATAATCGTCACTGTTGGTCATGAGCAGTAATCGAACTTGGGTCGCCGGGTTCGTAACGCAGTGCGCTAATCACTGCATCACCGCTCTTCACTTTTGTCGCATACACACGGTCTTTGGTGCCATGGTGGCGAGATGTTAACTACCTCCCTGGTATACAGGAGGCCGTGGGTTCGATCCCGACGCTGACGCCTGATGTATATTTGGAGTTTGCGTGTCTCTCTCTCGCCGTGGTCGCGTGGATTTTTCTCCGGGTCCTCCGGTTTTTCCCTCCACATTTATAATCATCATCACCACGCGCTTGGAGTATCTGGCTGCTATAAATGTCCACACGACGATAAGCCACTTCGTCGTGCTATCGTTTGTGATGACCAGGTCGCTTCTGAAAAAAACAGTTACATAGCTCAGTGGGCCTTGCCCGCTGGTAAAATAAAATTTGAAAAAAAAATTGTGACCCCCCACGAGAAACCCAGTGTGGAGCGAATGTAAAGGAGTGGGGGGGCACGTAATTGTTCCACCTCCACCCGATCCAGCTCGCGTAAAATAAAAAAATCACGCGCTGCGCTACAACCGAGCGTCCATTGGACGTCGGTGGGGCATCTAGAGATGGATCGCGCTGCCTAGGAAGTGATGCATCGGTAGAGGGGAGGAGGGGGGGATGCGACGGCAATGCATCGGTTAACATCCAACTCTTGTGGCTCCATGATGCGCGCGTGGGAATCGATGTTGTTTGATTTGTGCAAACGAGGTGCAAATATTACGGTGAGCACAAACGAGACGGTATAAAAATAAAGAGAGAGAGTGGGGTCTCGAATAAAATGCGACCGCCAAATCACGGCAATTAATCAAATTTCTGGAGATGGCGGAATTTTGGGGGGGGGGGGGTGGGGGTGAATAAATGACACCCCTATTTTTTAAACAAGCGCAGCAAAGCCAGTCTGTTAAGCGAGCCTCCCGCATTCAGATGTCGCTGGGTGCGGCGACAATACACGCGCACACGAGCGCGCGCGCGTGTGTATTCCGTCGACTGGTAGGTTGAGGGTTTTGGTAGATCACGCAGAGACGGAGTCGCTACCCATCGGACGGGGGGGGGGGGGGTGGCGGGGGGGGGCGCTTGTACATGAAGCAGCACGGCAAGTAGGTTCGGAGATGCTATTTGTAAAGCGGAGTGTTCTCCCTTCACGTTGCCGTGGATTTCCTCCGGCATGCCAAAGAGTAATTGTAACGGGCCAAATATCCCAAGCAGGGCCCTCCTGAACATGAGTCTTGAGACTCGGTGAGGCTTTCCTGGGTTAAAAAAAAAGAATTTATTGTTGTTATTGTTTTATATATATAATGTATGTAAGGCTGTTACAAATCCATTGGCACTGCACCTTGATGAGCGCTAATCAAACTGTAAGATGATAACCGAGAGCCTTGGCAATTGCTCCGTAGTAAGCCTTAATCGCAGTTTGTACATTTTTTTTTAAGTAACGCATCTTGCAACGTACAGGGGTTTTGTTTATAGTCTTTTCTGCATCACGTTGCCATTACTTTTGTGTGGGATTACGTGGTTCGATCCCTGACCGCGTTACATCGCAAAAAAAAATAACTCAATACGTTCGTCAAGAAGACAGTGACCCTCAAAGAAAAAATGCACAGTGGGTGACGTTTCGGGCGATGGCCCTTCTTCGTAGCGGTGGGCCATGGTTCCAAACGTCACCTTTTATTTTATATTTTGACGAATGTGTCGAGTTATTTTATTGGCTGCGTGTGTGCACCGTGCATTATTCGTCACATTATGTTCCACGTCAACACAGACAGAACTCAGAACACATTATTGAACGACACGTGAAACCCGCTTCAGTGCCGTGTCCAGCTTGGTCCACTAAAGAGCAAATACACTGCCATCTGTTTTGTTTGTTTGTTATAACTTCAGAGTCGTGTCTCCGTGTTCAAACAAGCACTGGGGCGCGGTGCTCATCCTGTAAGTTGGCCCCTAAGCCAGTGGGTGGAAATTCCACGTTCATATGACAGCGGCAAGTCTACCCAACAAACCGTATTTGTTGACTCCTGGAAAAGTCTTGCAACAAAAAAATCATACGATGCCGATTACTTTCTTTCAAATGAACGTCCGTGCGACATTCATTTGACCTTGAAAAGTCACGTGCCGCGATGCGTACTCCCATCGGCTGTCGATGTCGCGTGAACCCAACCTTGCCGACACCATCGTTTCCCACTTTAGTTTCCGTAGAATCATTTTGAAATGCTTTTAAAAGGAAAATTAAAGTCATCGTGAAAACGTAACAAACCGGTACATGCCACGCAACGATAATCGGATTATGCACTGAAAATGTAAAGGCAGTTGTATGAGATTACCATGCCTGCATTTTAGTAATCCGATTACAGAACTTCTTGTGAGTAATCCGATTACAGTAACCCATCGGCTTCTCGGCACTGGCCACTAACGCACCAAACTGCACTTTGGGGCCAATTCACACGCTGCTGAAATGTAGGAAACGCACATCATCATCATCAGCATCATCGCCTACGCGGCGGTTCGCATCATTGTTGTTGTTGTTGTTGACGGTTGAGACACCTGGCAAATCTTCACCGCAATTGGACAAGACGTAAAACATTCGTCAACGCACGAATCGCGAGGCACCTTGGACCTTCAAGCGCCGCCGAGGCCGAGTGCGCACAGTAACGGACGACACAGAAGCACATGGCGCCTGGGGTTGTGTGCACGCGGACGCTTCTGTCGAATGTATTTGATCATTGCAGGCTCATCCGTTAATCAGAGGTCTATCCTGCTCATCGTCTGGGCTATATCGGTTTGTTACGTGCGTGCCACCGATTTCGTAAATCCTACGTTTGGTTTTCTATTTTGTAAAATGTTTTTCAAATACAAGTTTATGGAGTTGGAGAGTGTCGTCGGTGTGAGTCATTTTAATTGTGGTTTCCGATTACTTATTTTTACACTTCACAACGAAGATTGAGATCGCATTACCTCTCATAAATGATGATCGGGTATACATTAAAGTTTAGTATGAAATCGTGTTTCTATATGATGATAGTCTGGAGCAGATGGCGGAAACTCCACGTTCCTATGGGGCACAGTGGAGGCGAGGAGATGTTATCTCCCTCGCCCGGTATGCAGGAGGACGTAGGTTC